ACTATGAAAATAAATATATTAAATAAAATAATGATAAACATGATAATAAATAAAATAAAGAAAATGAATATCACAATGATAACCATGATAGCAGTGAAATCGGTGAAAATGGTGACGCTAGTTGGCGCAGTCATTTAGTTGCGCAAACAGATTATCACTAACAATGTACTCAATTACAAATTATGTGTAAGGATCACATTAGACTATATAAAGACACAAAGAGGTAGAAAGATATAAGTTTTAAATGACTCCTTTATTAATATTGAAACTCATATTCGCAAAAGAGTTAATTTATAATATAAACAAAAGTCTATCTATTTATATAAAATTACTTTTATCACAGCTAACTAATTACTATATTATAAACTAACTAATTTAGCAAAAAATAAAATATAAGTAAAATAAATATATTGAAAATAATAAAAATACATAAAAAAATAAATATAATAATAAAATTTAAAATATTAAAAATAAGTATAACACTAAATATTCTTAGACTTCATTTAATCTATAAAATTAGGATTATCATCAGTATTTAGAAGATCTTTAAAATTATGTAGATTCTCTATATTTTTAAAATTCACAGAATTCTCAATATTTTCAGAATTCTGTATTAAAAAATCATTATACTGCATCATTTATGTAACTTCATTATGACTGGTCAATTGCTCCATTAATAACGTACTATTTGTGAACGTCCTTTTTTATATTTTACAATAGGATTTTCTGCTAAAATTAGAATATTTCTTTTTGGTATATTATCAGCATTAAACTTAAGTTCATTTAAATAATTAGGTATTATTTGATTTTCTTTGCTATATTCTAAGCTACCTGTTTTATTTACAATAATGATATTTGCTTCTCTAGGTTATATTATTGAAACCAAGAATTGTTTTAATCACTTTTTTCATAAAAATCTTCAAGAATTGCAATTAGCTTCTTATCTAAATCTAATTAAATTTCTTTATTTATCATTGTTTTTTGTAAGATCTAATACCTTTGCAAATCTTTGTTTTTATTAGTTTTAATAGAAATCCATTTCATATAAGAATATATTGCAAAATTAATTTTATTAGCATTTATTAATCTATTAAAAGCTTTACTACTCAAGTATTACTATATACTTTGTCATTTAACCAATGGTGATTAATCATATTAATATAAAATTTTACTTCTGTTATCATATATATTATATGAAAAAAATGTTTGCAAATCCAATCTGATGTATTATATAATTTATATGTATTTACATTTATAATTACCATTTGTCAAGAAAAAAATAAATTATAGTAAAGCTGCATATTTCATATGTCATATTTCTCATATTGAACTAAATGTTCATAAATCTTATTAAAAATTATATTTGTATAAGTTTGAGGTAAATCAAAAATTTTCTTAATACAGATTACTTCACATGAAAAATTATCATTATTTTGAATAAATCTATTACTTTTAATCTGTTAAACATGATAAAGAAAATTATAGTTCATGTGTTTACAGATTTTTTCAATTATATTGTATATATTAGGTGGTAAATTAATAATATAGATTTTTTCTATGTTATAATTTCCTTATTATTTGTCTTTCCTTAAGAAATTGACTAATAGTTATACAAAGGTCATATATGGTATATGTCAATTTTTCAAATCATTTTTGATTACCCTATTAATGCATTTAATATGCCTTGATGATTACATTCCTGCTGTAAAATATAACTTGTATAACACCTAGCTATAAACTCTTACTTTTATATAACCATTCAAGGTAACTTTTTACAGTTGAATAATTTTCTATTAAATTTGCATATTTACATTTAAATGTTTCAATATTGAGTTTGTTCCAGCACTGAAAAAACTTTTTTGCAAAGGTTTTATAATTTCCACATAGTCTTTCTTTCAAATTTTTAGGAATATTTAGTCCTATATGCCAAATGCAATGCAAATGTTTTGTTAAGAGATAGATTTGAGTAATAGTGGTATCTATTGCAGGAACAGCATCTGTAATGATTACTAATGGATAAATTCCAAGCATTTGATTTATAACACCCAAGCTCCTAGCATAAGATTCTAGTGTTTCATTATCAAGAAATGCTTGTGCAACTGGTCATGAACTAAAATTACTGTTAATAACTGCAAAAATTGAAAGTGGAAGGCCATACATATTGGTTTTTGCAGTGTTGACAACGAATGTATAATTTAACCTGTTGAGGTTCCATTCACAATAAATGTGTAAGAGCTTGTGATGTTGCATCACTGGAGCTTTTTCGTGTCAAACTTTGTAAATTGCATTATACAGATCTTGTTTAATGACACGTTGCTGATATTGTTTGTAAGCATCCAATATTGCTTGCTTGCCTTAACATTTCCTTCAAGTGTCCAAAAACGGATATCTGCTAACATTTCTTTAGTTAATTTTCGAAATTGAGGTAAAAAGTTTACTGTTTGAAGGTTAAGAATGTATCCTTTGTGTTCATCAATGAAGGTTGTTACGACATAAGCTCCATGCTTTTTACGTATATTTACATGCCATGGACAATTAAACCTGCAGGAAATTTTAGTTCGCTATCATAAAGATTAGCCATTTTCTTTGGTTTATATATACCCGCATGATTACATAAAAATGTTCGCTTTATAATCTCTTCACTATTTTCATTATCTTTCTTTGAGCGATCCTTTCTGTATCCAAATCCCTTTTGTATACAATAATCATTAAGAAATAATGCTACTTCTTGCCATGATACAAATTGTCTATCAATGTAAAGGTCATCTGTTTCATCCGTTTTACCTTAATCTTCGAACGAATCATCACTACATTCAATTTCACTTTCATTAATCTCTTTATCACTTTGGATGTCATTAGTTTTATTAACTTCGTCATTCATGTTTCTTTTTTTTTTCTTTTTTTGGAAAGAAAATAAATCGATATAATCATAATCGGCGTTAACAAACTATTTAATTTATGAGCTTATTGTTACGAATACGAATATTACGTCAAATTACATCATACACGTGATTAAACTTTGGGGCACAAAAATGCACAGGGACACCATTTAAATTTTCACTTTATTATATTGATATTCAGATATAACGAAAAGTTACAAAAAATATAGAATTACGAATTAAAAAATTTAAGGTAAAATATTTAAGAAAATTTAAATGATTATCAACAATAATATTAAAGTAGCATAATTTTAAAGATTTTTCGAAATTAAAAGATATTAAGCTGTAAAGATAATTATTGACATTAAAATTATAATAAATTTAAAAAGTAATAAGTAATGATTGCAGAATTTTCAGTTTCGGGTTCAGGCAATACAAATATCTGAAAATGAAATACGTGATTCACAATTAATCCAATTATGCAATATTCAAAACAAACTTGTTCAACTTCTTTTAGTACAGAATTTTCTTATTTAAGCAATATTCGCGGAGGAATCATTTTTACACCTGATTAAAGGAGTAATAATCAAAAGCAGCAATATTCAAAAGCTCATAATCACAAAAGAAAGATATAATCTTTTTACACGATTGGGTCAACAATCTGAATATATAAATTTACTTAAAAGATTTCATATATTCTATGGAAAACAGTTTAAATGAAGAAGAATTACATGAGAATGAAAATATTGATGAAAGTCAAAAAATTGCGAATCAAACTTATGTAAAAACCTCATGGTAGGCCTCTTCAAACGATACAAAAGTTCTTTGGACAGCATCGCACTAGCCCTGGATCAAACAAAAAAAGCGCAAGTGCCATTTCTTTATCTATTTATATAGCTTTAAGTGACACAAGTAATAGGCGCCCTCTATCTGATGAAAGATATGAATTAAACGATTCTACAAGAATGAAAAATTGTGGAAGAAATAAAGAGGATGCAATGCATAATAAACGCACATGTAATGAGATTTATCAAACTTATAATGTTCATAGCATAGCAAAATTTATACTTCATGTAGTTATTTTTTTATTTGAATAATTGTAAAACATACAGAATATTATGCGATCAAAGCTGTTCAAAAGATTTAAATGCTATAAATTTTACATAATAAAATAAAGGTTAATATTAACCGGAAGGGTGAGATTTAGCGACGCTGAAAATATAAAATTTAAAAATAAATAACTTTATACTATCTATATATAATTAATTTTTAATAGTTGTATTTTCGGCATTAATATTATCCTTAAAATTCGAGTCAAACCGTGTTAAACAATAATCGAGTCGTATCGAATTCGAGTCGTACAATAGTCGGTTCGAGTCGAATTCGGGTTCTGTAATCATTAACGGGTTCGAGTTCGAATATACTTCAAACCCGAACCGACCCGACCCTTACGGAGCACTAGATACGTCAACATTCCGATAAAGAATTCCCCAAGTGGTGCACTGGATGAAAGGGCTGAAGCATTCTGGTTACATGTTATCCACGAAAATAAGAAGAATCAGATAGGTGTAGGATATTATTGTCAAGAATTCTGGTTAAGTATGGATCGGCTAAGGAGGAATAAGAAAGATGAAATTTCCTTCCAAGCATTGTCGAATGTCGCGCACAGGAATGTGAAGGGCTAATACAAGGATATATGTCAATTAAATGCCAGTGACACAGCAATAATAATAACGTGCTTGTTAAGTGTTAAATATTTAAATTATTACAAAAAAAAAACCCCCTATTTTTTATTGAATAATATTTTTTTATATTTATATAACAATGCTTTTCTTTTGAAGTTCTGAAGTACGAATTCTACTGATCCGGTACGACTCAAATATCGCGATCCATACTCCATTTTACATGTGGTAATCATTAGCTTTTAAATTTGGAAATCGAAATAATTTCTCAAAATTTAGATAAAGCTCTAGAAATAAGGATGATGATAAAATTCTTAAAGAAAATAATAGGTGAAACGGTAAACAATATTAAAAATAAAATCTGTCTTTTAACTGATAATGAAAGTATTCAACTTACCAAATATATCATATTATCGTAGACACACTTATTTTGATTAAATGCTTGAATTATTCGACTAATATTCAAGTGGTTGGATTAAACTTTGGAACAACTAACACTGGATTTGCTTATTGCCATAATTTGAGTTCACAAATATTGAAAAGCTATAATTGGGAAACCTACATGTATAAAACTAATACGGATCTTAAATACGATGACACATAAACCAATTTAATTTCGTGTGGATTTTCAGTTTTAGATGCAAATCCCAATCGTCGTGAAGGAGAAAAGTTGAAGATGAGCTTACATTTGTGCGATTGACCGGATAAGATTAAACCGACACCGCCAATTGGATATAAAAAGAAATTAATGATTATCATAAATAAATAAAATAGGTATGATATTATAAATTGTATCATTGATAGTAACTTCACGGATTTTGCCACCCACGTAAGTGGCAAAATCCCAACCAATTAAATATAGCTCACGTGAACTGTGAAGTAATCTCTGATAATTATTCGGTCCTGATCATGATAAAATTTTATTTGCTTTTTTTTCTCTTCCTACTTCCCCCTTCCTTTTACCATTTATACATTTTTTATTATGCCAAAAGCAAAACAAAAACCATTTGTAAAGGTATATTTTATCTTTAAAGCTATTTATTTTCAAACAATTTTTAGCAATATTTAAATTTTATTTTTATTAGCCAACTTTTAAATA